AATAGCTTTCTGTCCTTGAATAATCATGAAAGTTCTAATCTGAATCAGGGGGCTAAAGCAGTATTCGGGAGAAGAGTATAGTCCTACTGATCATGCTAGAGACAGAGGAGTTCTGCAAAGTAATAAACCAAACATTCAACTCACAAAATTAGAGGAAAGAAAACAAGTCCAAAAAAGGAAGGTAAATAATCTAAGAGCAGAAACCAAAGAAAAAATACTACATAACAGAAGGTATCCAAAGAGCCCAAAGTTATCATTTCCTACCAAGACACCAATAAAAATGAAAACTCCATGACAAGCTATATTAGCCAAAAAGAGAAGACATTAATAACCTGTTTTGAAACTATCTCATTGCTACTTCTTTCTCAATAAAATTATTAAAATAAAAATAACCATACCAGAAACAAAAATGTGATATCACTGTAGATATAGCAGTCAATATCAAAAATAACACTATTCATAATTTTTTTCCTGATTACTTTGAAAAAAACACAAATTTCTAGCAAAATATGGTCTCCTAAGTTAATTTATAAGATCTAAAAACCCTAAATAGCCCAATAAAAGAGATTGAATCATTAGTTAAAATTTCTAATAATAAAGAAAGCATTAGACTCAGGTAGTTTTAACATATCTAGAAAATACTGAAGGAGTAATTCTAATCTTGTATACACTATTTGAGAAAATAGACAGAGAAAGAGCTCCATCTTATGAATCAGATGTACTCTTGTTACTAAAACTTAATAGTCTCACACAGAATGGGCATATTTTTAAAAACTTTATTTTATAATAACACCAGACATACAAGCTATTAAGAAAAGAAAACTATAAATACAAATATATCAACACATTATTTCATGAACAAGAAGACAGTATCTTGAAAAAAAGACGCAAGATCCTTCTCAAATATATATATTTAATATTCTAATTTTTAAATGTTTTTATCATATTCTGCAGGGACTAAAAGTTCAACATATCAATATTTGATGAAAAATACCTGTTCCTTATTATGCCTAAGATGTTTGATACGCAGACAGATAGTGAGGTTAAGCTTAACAGCCTAAGTTGTATGATAATAACAATAAACTTGTCTTATGGATGGTTAACAACCTAAGTTTGCAGACCAAAATTAGAGAAAAAGGAGGGCTACAAGGAAAGCCAACATTTTGGCCCTAGCCTCCAAGGTCAATTAAGACTCAGGACATATGAGAACTTGTACTGTAGCATCATGTAACTCAGTAGTGTCCCAAATTTTCTGATCAAGGAGATTATGGGGCCAAAGAGGAAAGTGATCGATAATGTAGAGTGTGCCTAAGGAGAGTCACATGGAGAGAAAACATTCTCTCAGGCTTTCACAGAGAGCACATTGGTCACGCCATGGTCTTGACTCATCCACATGGCAGACACTGACAAAGGTTCTACAATCTGAGTACAGGGTCTCAGGATAAATCCTGAAGGGATTTCACTGACCTTATCAGACCCAAAAGCTACAAATCTTGTTGCATAGGTCCTGCTTTACTTTGGTCTTAACCATCCAGCAGAAAAGTATAAAAATGAAGTATAAGAAGTAAAGCCATGCTGTTATGTTGAGCTGTAGGGGACTCAAGTCAACAATTTCTGACATTTCCAGTGAAACAGAAGAGCCAGTACTATTATGAACTACTGAACTCTTTTAGAATATTTTGCTGAGTTTACACACCTATAATATTTAAATGATGGAACTTAACAAAAAAAGGGGATACAGATGAATGTCCATTTTGTATCTGTGTATTCAAAGTGGTTAGGATAGATATATAGTTACATTCTCTTAATGAATAGAATGATTTGTTCTAATGGTGTTTGTAAATATATCAAGTCTGCATCTTGTACAGCAATTAACCACTAAGAAGAATGTATGCAGTGTGTTAATTATTGAAACTGTCCTACCGATTTGATTTGAAACTGTCTCATTGCTATTTGTTTCTCAATAAATTTATGGAAAAAAAGAGTACAAGCTTGATCTCATTTAAAAATTTTAAATAACAATGAAGTAACATTTTACATTTACCAGATTAGCAAAAATTACTTTGACAACACCAAGTGCCAGAGAAGATGGGAAACTAGAGAAGGACTCATGTGTTGACAGTGGAGGTATACAAAGAGAAGGAAAAGGTTTGGAAATTACACAGTACAATTAAACATATGCCGGCTCTTCAGCCCAACAACACTCTAGAGAGTGTCAATAGTAGCACATTAACAGAAAACTAGAGAAACCTAAATGCCCATTGTTGGAAAAATAGACAAAATCAATAGATAAAATATATAAATTTCTTCTTATTTTTAGATTTTAAAAATCCAGAAAAAAATTGAAAGGCTAAGACTTTTTTTGGGGGGGCTGCACAAATTTATTGGGCAAGAGATAACAGCAAAGGGAGTGCGAGAAGTAACACAGGGTGGGGGAAGGAGCTGAGCAGGGATGTGGACTCAACAGGGGACATGAATGGACCCTTCCCAAAAGAAGAAAGCCAGTCTGTGTCTGAAGTTCTTGTCAGTCCCTGGCTGAAGACTGCCTGCCCTTCCTCAGCAGAGGACACATAACTTCCAGATGAGGTGGCCCACTCGGCTGAATGCAACTCTTGAAGTTGCTCCCTGTGATCCTTAGCAGCCAGCACCCAGCAGATGGAGAATCGTGCTGCTTCCTGGTACGGGCAGCTGGGCAGATCACCGAGGGCATCTCACGCAGACAAATCACTCATTTGGTCAAGCTTATTGCACCACAACTTTCTTCCCTCCCCATCCCTTTCAGGAGATCCTCTGCAAGAACCAAAGGAGCCCCCAACCTTGGAGAGAGTAACGAGTCTCTCTGGCCTCTTTCATGTGGCCACGGGTATGCCAGGATTCCAAGAAGGTCTTCTGGGACTTGGCTTCTCCAGGCAGTAAACTCATCCACCCAAGATCCCACTTCTTTCACAACAGTTGCTCCACAGGAGAATTCAGTGGCGCTCACAGTGCCTGTCTTAACTGTCCAGAGGACTGGGAGAGGCCCTCCTTCCAAGAAGAGAGGGCTCCTTCCCATAGCTCTTCATGAGCATGGTAACTATATAAGCCATTTCTCCAACTACAGAAATGATCTACAGTACCTGTTTCATATGGCTTTCCCTAATCATGCATATAGGACTAGTAGCTTTCTTCCAACCAGGCTCCACACATTTTTTAAGAACTATCGAACCTGAAGCATATGAAAAGGGATTATTCTTACTTCCAAATGCTGATAAGAGAGAATCAGTCTTAACATTTTCTGGAGTTATAACATATGATTTTTTTTTTCATTGCCAAATATTAGGCCTAGCCCTCCTCTCTGTGGCTGATGGACTCTCTGGACTACAGGCAGGAATGGCCCAGTGTTTGGGATGCAGTCTGTAGCTCTCTTAGTTTATAGCCCATACTCATTCGTCATATTCCAATGCCGACTCCTGTGATAGAGAGTCCTACACACACTGGCCAGAGTATATTCAAAGGCTAAGACTTATATG